ACAATATGTTCCAGTAGCTTAGACATGTGGGACAGGAGTGATATTGGTCTATAGTTGGATGGGACTGACTTATCTCCACGCTTGTAGATAGGCCGCACGTTTGCTAGTTTGTATGTCGATGGAAAATCGCCAGACGTAAGAGACTTGGTAAATAGTTTGGCTAAAGATGGGCATGTCCAGTCCACTGCAATCAGTGACGGTCGTAGCTAGGTCGGACGGTGCGTTGACCCCGTTGAACTTTTGCTGCTACAATACAACGCCCTCCTCAAAAAATTCCCCTGTTATTTTGCACAGAACCATCATAATACATTAGGAGCATATGTGAGCATGATGCGGCATAATATGATAACTTTTAGCATAAAAATAGCATAATTCTGCCATTTTTTCAGCAATGCGAAAAGAATAATTTCACGAAAATATGCGCATAATCCGTCAAGGCCTAGTACCGTAAGAGAAGTACAGCCAGTCATATTGTCATGTTGAAATACTACAATTTGACACAATTTGCACGCTTGGAGGTGAAATACAGAAGGCGAGTCGATCCGCGTATGACCAAGAGTGTACACCAGTGTTAGCTCCCGGCTAAACGCAGTCCCCTCACACTTCCAGAACACAGGGTTTTGTAGTAAGGCCACACCAAGTTATTTCATTGTTTCTCGTCACCTGAAAATCTCAAAAGGAACGCGGGCGGGCGGAAAAAAAACAAAATAGGGTTTGAAAAACAAAAACTGCTATTTACACTACAAAGGCCCAATTTATGACCTAAAATCAGACTATACACCACGCGTGACAGTCAATTGCAACATACAGCCATAAAACCAGGCTCCTGCACCAAAACGGTGCACTGTCATGCACTGTCTTGACTTGTACCGGAACTGTGTGTAGCAAAGAAGACGACCAGGTCGTGTGGTGGTGTGGTACTTGAACTACCGGTATGCGTACATACACGGTGAAAAAGTCGTCCTTCGGTTCGTGCACTAGCACTGCACTCCAGATTTGACGCCGCGCGTACTTTTACAACGCCTTTTTATGCGTGTTTACCGGGACGCGAGATTTTTTTTTTGGTCCAATCCTCAAGAAAGGTACGCGCACGGTGACGAGAAACAATGAAAAAACTTGGTGTGGCCTAAATTAAATTAAATGACGGCTTTGAGCATGCAGCAAAGCCAAGTTAGCCCACGCATGCACGTGTTTTGTCACGGTTCGTCACGCGGCACATGAATAAAAAATATTTTTTCCGAAAATGGTGGATGAAAAAATAAATCTTGCGTGGCCGCTTTGCCCTGCCTCGTGTCAGCAAAGCAACTTCCTTGTCAACAATTTCTGTCATCCAGTTAGCCAAAGTGACTCAAGGTTGTGTTTTCTCCGTTTTCTCCTTTGTCTCTCCGCCAAGCTGTACAAGAGTATTAGTTGTGCTAGTCTGCGTAGACAAGCGCTGACTCGTGTGAGCTGGAAGCGCTTGAAAATTCACAACTTCAAACAGCGATCGATCGCGCTTGGTTGAAATATTTATTTGTTGCGTGGGCAGATAGAGTAGCTCATGGTCGCAGTAGTGAATTTCCTGGAGTTCATGAGGCCAAGCAAGAACTACTCGAAGCAGAGGACCAGGTATTTAGGCCTCGACATGGCGAGTGGCGTTGACGCCAACTCAGAAATGGCTGTGCCACGGATTACCTGTCAAAAAATCTAGCCAAAGAAGTAGACAAGGAGCAGAGGCATTTACATGGACAACGTACGATGGTGGTTTGCAACATGCTACTACTGCTGGAGCGACGTTGAGTGCAGGGACGATCGTTGATCATCTACGTATCAGGTGTGGTTGTCAAACGCTTGTGGCCTTTGATGTGGATATGAAGATTTTATGCCCACTGTGCGTTCGTTATGCACCACATCTGCTGTGCACGTGGCATTACCCTATCTCAGGGAGAAATCATCAACCCAGTCATTCTGTGTAAAACTATTCCTGATAGCTGTGCAGGCCAGCACAAGAACCAGTACGCTGCACTTAACAAGGTGCTTATGTTCGTGTGCTTGATGGTCAATGGAATGAGTTCAACTGAAAGCAACGGTTCCGCAGGTCTTCGACAACCTCAGCAAGGTGGTCGGCCCAGCAACAGTGGTGACGGTACTTGGCATAGAAGTCGACAGCGAGGACCAGGTGATGCGGCTACCTGACAAGAAGTTATTTGCCTTTCTAGCGGCTTTGAGGGAGTAGTCCACGCGCACTAGCTACACAACGCGGGAACTGCTGTCGCTGATCGGAACCTTGTCCTTGCCGCAAAGGTGGTTCCTCCTGGCAGGACCTTCATCCGTCAACTCCTGTATCTTAGCTGGACAACTCTCTCAGTCTCTTCAGTCAGTAGTCAACATCAACACAAAAGCTCACTTGGACATCGAATGGTCGCGCTCCTTTGCCGCAAACTGGAATGGCCAATCCTTCTTCTACGATGTCGAGTTTTCAAAGTCCCCTGACCTTGAGCTATTCACGGATGCCTCTGATGTTGGCTTCTGCGGTTTCTATCAAGGACAATCGTTTTTGGGGCAACGGGCCGCTGAGATGCAGCATGAACCTATTGTGATTACTCGCTTCCGAGAACTGGCTTCCACAGCCAACCAGTGCCTGGTGCCAACTCCTCCGCTGAACTCGCCGCTCTGATTGCTGCCAGCAATGATCTCATGAGCGACTCAGACCTTTAAGCCCGGTATTTGCGCATACATAATCTGATGTACCCAGTTTCGGCTATGGCCGAGTTCCGGTCCCTGACCGCTACTGCCGGCAGCTCACAGCCAGTGTTTCTGTTCGTCGACGGCGGCTACTTCTCCCGAGTTTTCTCGACTAGGATCCTCAACTGCAACCGGGTGAGCTCCCATTCTGTGCGCATTGGCGGGGCCACACTCATGGCTCACCGGAGTGTCTGTGAAGCAGCCATATGCCGTGCAGGCTGCTGGCGAAGTGCAGCATCCGATCACTATGTCAGGCGTGCAGCCGGTATGCCCTCTGTGCAATGGCTAGCAGCAAAGACTGGAACAGCCCACGCCCATGTGGTGTTGAGAACAGAAGTGAGGTACATTTGTAGTGTTGTACAGTGTTGTGCCTTCCGCTTGTTGTGCAGTCCTTGTGCCGGTGTGGCTCTGTGGGTATCACTTAGGGGTTTGCCATGGTTACTTGCAGGAAGTTATGCTAATGAGCGATGCCGTGAGAAATGCTTGGTCGTAAACACTGGTTTTTGGGAGGGTCAAATGCATTTGCCTCTCAGTGTTGTGCTGTACTGTCTCAGTGTTGTGACACCTGTATGTTGTTGTGTGGTTGACCCGCCGGTTTGAGGCATGGGTGGTCAACTGTGTATGTTGTATCGGTGTGTTCCCGTTTGAAGTTGCCGGGCCACCATATGGTTGACCCGCCAAAAATGGAGGCATGGGTGGTCAACTGTGTCTATTGTATCGGTGTGTTCCCGTTTGAAGTTGCCGGGCCACCATGTGGTTGACCCGCCGATAATGGAGGCATGGGTGGTCAACTGTGTATGTTGTATCGGTGTGTTCCCGTTTGAAGTTGCCGGGCCACCATGTGGTTGACCCGCCGAAAATGGAGGCATGGGTGGTCAACCGTGTATGTGTATCATTGAAGTTGCAATACGTACATTGCTGTGACTCGCCCGATTGCTGTTGCCGGGCACCTACGCATTTATTTGCCTACTTGTGAAGAGATATCTCTTCTGGTTTATTGCATAATTCTTGGCTCAATGTTATCCACGGTGTCGCTCGATGCAAAGTCTCGTAAATATTTATCAGACAAAATTGAAAAAAAAAACTATGGCAAACCCCACTTCCTTGTATTCTATCTGCCTGGTGTACACGTGTCCACGTTTTGTACGTTTGGCACGCACATGCGTGCGTGTGTATGTGAGAGCGTGTCTGGATAAATGTGCATATTGATGTTTTGGTTGTTTTAAGTTTTATTGTGTGTATGCGTGCATGCATGTGGGTTAAATGACGGCTTTGAGCAGCAAAGCCAAGTTAGCCCACGCATGCACGTGTTTTGTCACGGTTCGTCACGCGGCACATGAATAAAAAATATTTTTTCCGAAAATGGTGGATGAAAAAATAAATCTTGCGTAGCCGCTTTGCCCTGCCTCGTGTCAGCAAAGCAACTTCCTTGTCAACAATTTCTGTCATCCAGTTAGCCAAAGTGACTCAAGGTTGTGTTTTCTCCCCTCCCTCCCTCCCTTTAGACATGACACGTCGGTATCTTATGCCACATGACGAGGCCCCAAGGAGGGCGGCTCAGGGTCAAATGCATTTGCCTCTCAGTGTTGTGCTGTACTGTCTCAGTGTTGTGACACCTGTATGTTGTTGTGTGGTTGACCCGCCGGTTTGAGGCATGGGTGGTCAACTGTGTATGTTGTATCGGTGTGGTCCCGTTTGAAGTTGCCGGGCCACCATGTGGTTGACCCGCCGAAAATGGAGGCATGGGTGGTCAACTGTGTCTATTGTATCGGTGTGTTCCCGTTTGAAGTTGCCGGGCCACCATGTGGTTGACCCGCCGATAATGGAGGCATGGGTGGTCAACTGTGTCTATTGTATCGGTGTGTTCCCGTTTGAAGTTGCCGGGCCACCATGTGGTTGACCCGCCGATAATGGAGGCATGGGTGGTCAACTGTGTATGTTGTATCGGTGTGTTCCCGTTTGAAGTTGCCGGGCCACCATGTGGTTGACCCGCCGAAAATGGAGGCATGGGTGGTCAACCGTGTATGTGTATCATTGAAGTTGCAATACGTACATTGCTGTGACTCGCCCGATTGCTGTTGCCGGGCACCTACGCATTTATTGCTTGTGGCTCAATGTAGCTGAACCATCGGACCTTATTTGTCAGCTTGGATCACGTGATCCATCCAGCTGCCGCGTGCGGCAAACAGCCCAAATAGCGCTAACTCTGGCCTGCGAGCGTTTGCTGCGACTAGCGCACTAGCGCTCGTGACATACACAAACGCGCTAGCCAGAATGCTTTGACTTTGATGGCTTTCAGCTTCTATTTTTTGAAAAGTAGCGCGCTCAGACCAGCTCGCTCACTCTTTTCCTCTTCCATTTTTTAGGGCAATTGTTTTGTTTGATAGACGAAGCTTAGGGTCTCTTTGGGTTTGCAACCCTTACCCTCCTGGAAAAAATCATAGTTGCTAGACTGCGACACTTCAGACCAGGTACTATTAGAGCCGCTAATGGACGACGAGCTATTTTCCGCTATCCGGAGCTCAAGCATTTGAGCCGCTAAATGGACGAGACTCCTGGGGTAAAGGATGCAGAGAATGAGGAGAAAACACTCGTATGGAGCAGGGAGTAGGTATTGTACTACTTCCTGGTATGGAGCACTGAGAAGCGGTAAGTCTTAGGGCAATTCTTAGCCAGTAATTACTTTCTCGCCATAGTTATGTTCTCGTTTTTCGTGTCTTCTGTAATGCCAGTACACGTACACTAGCAGTACGACTACACTGTAGGCGAGAGTCCATAAGCCAGAGTGTGCAGCTCTCCATCTATGCAGCATAAACAAATTAATGACAAATTTCCTTTGCCTAAGGGCTGGGTTCCACTGCCGCTCCGCCGCACATCATCCACGGCATGAAACGTCATCATTACGAGCTGGTCCAGCGAGGCCGCGGCTCATCACCAGCTTTCGCTTCGCTGCTTGATACAAAAAAATGCAAGCCGCGGTCACGGCTTGCATTGTTTCCCGCACTTAATTGTTTTATTCGGGGGAATTTTAATTCGTTGCACAGGCCAGAACACGAGTATTTTTTTGGATTTCACGCGCGCGCAGGCAGGCTAAATGTCATCAAAAAACGTCGAGCACGATCGCGGTACCGTGAATGGCGAGTGTCACTGGAACCGCGCCGCTCTGCTGCATGCAGCCAAGTACCGTGGAGCAGCGGAGCTGCGGAGCCGCAGTGGAACCCGGCCCTAACCAAACTTATAGCAATTTGAAAATGTTTGACAATTTTTCATAAAAAACTTGACAACATTGTTCTTCTGTAGAGTGCCGCTGGCAACTCCATCGATGAACTCCATCAATGAGCGCAGGGATAAAGTTTAGAAACCCTTCGATCGAGAACGTGTTTTCAAAAAGGAAGCACAAATATGCCGCGTAACTTCCCCTCTAGTACTGTATGGCCCCATCAAAGCCACTCGCTGACTACTTACCAGTAAAATGGGGTTGGACGGTTGTCAGATTAGCTGATATGTTTTCTGCCAACACAACCATAAGCAGTTGTCAACTCTCAAGACTAAAAGAGCTTGCGAAGAAAGTGAGAAACCTTGGCTATGAAAGCACATGAAGCATCAGAACATAATCGAGCAAACTTGGACCTAGATTACCAGTGTCTGCTCCAGAGCCAGGTCAGTGACCCTGTTTGTGAGTACTTGGACCTTTTGGAAAAAGAACACTGGGTTACCTGCGACCCGGTCGGAAGTCCTGTCGAGTACTATACTTTTTTATACCGTTCGAGGGTATACCGCCACTGACAGGCTGCATACGCGTGCAGATGCGTGCGGCCAGAGTGCCCAGTGCGAGTACGTTCATACATGTACATGTACAATCATGTACATCAGGAAGTCGAAAGTAAGTTTACGACTCCCTGACACACAGTAGCCGCACTTGAACGCATCTGGCTCTGGCCCAGTGTTGCAGGAGTTGTGCCAGGTAGACGTGTACCCGGTTTGTGTTAAATCTTAGAGCAGGTACTGCATACCCTATCATATCTGTGTACATGGGTATACAGAGTCAGTGTTGTTGCGTCCCACTCAGCACCCTTCTGGTTCATTTCGGCACCAGCACTCTTTGCGTATGCAGAGTTGAGTAGAGTGCACGTTCGGACCACAAGTACACTGCAGCAGCTAGTAGCAAACCTAACCTGTGCCGTGATGCACGGCACGTGTGTGCATCTACTTCATCCCTGAGTAACACACCTGGTATATTGTGCACAATAGGGCACAGTAAATAATCAGCATGCATCGCAGTTTTCTGCAACATATTCCTGAAGTCACTTTACACCTCAGAAGAATTGCGTCGCTGACTTGATTTCGATACCGGTTTAGTTTCTCTCTGGGTCATTATGAATCATAGAAAACCCGTCATACGATAGGTTCAAGCTAAAGTACCGTATCACCATAGTAATTCCTGGAAATTCGGTGTGTTTTCTGCCTTTTGTTAAACAAGCAGCAATGTGCAACAGAAATTACCATGGTGATACAGTAGATTACCGTGTGAAGCGGTGTGAGATGCAGCAAAGGTGAGCTTGTTACTGTGAGTCTATGCCCTAAACAATAAACTTTGCCGTGGGATGATTATCCTTGGGCTGCACACTCTGCACACTTATTGCTAGGTATATCATTGGTCTTGTTCGAATCGTCCATTACGTTTGCAGCTGTTCAAACTTGTTTTGTTGTTTATTATTTTATTGATTTATTTATTCTACTTGCCTTTCCTATCTTCTTGTGTTTAGCATTAGGCGATTTGATCGCACGACAAGAGAGGAGCTGATGGACGATCTCTCCAGTGTCCCTCTTGGTTCGGAGCAGCGCCGAGTGCCGACGTTGGGACTTGGGTAAGGATGAGTGTTCCCTCATGTTTACAAGTTATCCGTTTTGTCCAACACTAACGGTTATATGCAGAATACTGCTGAGTCAAAAATGTGCATCAATTAGCACAAAAACTGACTGATGAGATCCTGGCATTCAACGACCTGATGCTTAGCTGCATCACGTTTATATCCGTTAGTGTTGGACAAAACGGATAACTCGTAAACTGATGGTCCTCTTTTTCAATTTTAATCCTTGGCTCTCCATCCGAGTTCCCTTGTGTGTGTAGCTATTATTATTTTTTTGGTGACAGTCAATTCTTCAGACTTTTCCCGTTTGTGTCTTTCCCTCAAACTAGTCAATATCTTTATTTACTTATTTTTTTGCCCAGGGTCTACATTCTACCTTTATTTTACTTAGACTAGGGTTAGCTGCCCGTTTACCAGTACTCATCCACACATATGTGCACATAGAGTCTACACAGAACTCTATCAGTAGATATTTTGTGTATAGGGGGTTGTCTATCCACCGAGATAGCACTATATACTCCCATTCTGTGTGTTCTCTGGTAGCTATGTCCCTTGGAGACTATACGGTGCCAGTGTGGTGACCGAGATCAGGCGTGTCTGCACTGGCATCGTCAACTTTGCCTACTGCTACGTGCTCCCCAGTGCTCCATCTGTGTCCTGTAATTTGTTTGGGGAGGGGGGGGGCAATACCGGTACTTCAGGTGCAGGGGCAAGGGGGGAATGGGGTGGGGGGACATCATGCCCCCAATGAACCTCTCCAGGCGTTGTTCTGGAGTAGACTAACCATAGGCGGAGTGTACACATGCAGCGCATAGTTTGGGAGCTAGAACGCGATCGGACTCAGGCATATTCAAAGGCAGTCTATTGTGATAGTAGTCCTGGACTGATCTCACTATGATGATATAGGTCGTGCCCAGCATCACAATGCCAAACATTATAAATGACTGTTTTTTTTTGCCTGAGGGGCTAGATGAGCATGCGGCTAGACTGCCGATGGCAACCAACAGGCTCAAGGCTGTGTTGAGACTTCGTGTGAGCGACCCGAGTCAATTGTTTACTCACCATGACTAGGCATCGCATTGAGCATCGTATGCCCACTAATATAATAATTATATTATGTCACTGTTCTTAGTCGCACCGGTGGCGCATGCCCGTTTTCAGGAGACTTCTCAAAACACATAAGCCCTGGGTCCTGAAGGTTAGGCCTTTTGTTAATCTAAATAGTCCTGGCTACTATCCTGCTGAGTTCACTGACTTTCTACTGAACCCGTATGTATGTGAGGAAAGTACTGTTCTGACCTCAACTGCGGATTTCATCAACTTGGTAGAAGGTTTGCCTGTGTGGGACGATCATTTATAATTGAGTATAGATGTGACCAGCCTTTACTACACCAACATCCCCAACGAGCCCGGTTGTCGTGGTATATCACACACAGGTGTACAAGGTGGATGCCCCTCGCCCTTCGTACATGGTTATTAACAGCAGTGACTTCCTTGATGTCAGTCATTCGGAAGAAAAATGAGTTTGTGTATGGTAACGATGTGTTTCGGCAGATCCAAGGGACTGCCATGGGTTCGCCTGCAGCAGTGGTCTATGCCGACATTGTTATGCTGTATTTGGAGAAGCAGTACGTTTTGCCGATCTTAGAGGGGGAGGGTTTAGAGGTTCAGGTTTATAGACGCATTATCATTGCATGGTTGCGAAGGTCAAGTTCAGCGCACTGTAGATAGGATTAATAAGTGTTCGGCCCTCAAGTTTTCTCATGAACTGGCACATGATGGCATTGATTTCCTGGACACCACAGTTTTCCGTAGTAAGGGATACATGGCCTCATTTCAAGTTCACCAATCGTTTCCTGTATCTGCTTGTCGGTAGTAACCACCCCTGTAGTATGGGCAAAGGTGTGTTCACTGGGGAGTTGATCCGTATCCGTCGGTCTTCGACCCTTGACCACCACTACGAAGCTGCTGCCGAGCGGCCGAAGCAGGCTTTCCGGGCCCGTGTATACAAGCGCTCCATCTTTCATCTTTCAGACCCGTACACTAGGAATGGATGCGCAGGGAAGGTATGTTGGTCAAATTGGCATGGGTTTGGGTTATTTCTGTAGTTGTATACAGTGCTCCTCATTGTATTTACCTGGGCCCGGCCTGCTGTCCTTCGCCCGTTGGTCTTGAGGTCCAGGTGTAATACCCCTACCATACAGTCCGGTGGCCAGCGCGGTTGTTGTTACACGGTGGAACATCGGCAAGAGGTTGCTTGCGCGTTTGCCTCATGCTCAGTGTCCTCAGGGAGTTAGTATTTTCCTCCTGTTTGGATTTTGCAGTGTCTATGGTGTCGGTAATTGAGTCTTTGTTCTGTATGCTTTTCTGTGGTGTGTGGCTGTTGTTCACACATCTTTATTTGACTTGCTTCCTGGTGTGGTGTACCTTTTTGTTTTATATTGGTGTTGGTCTGGTAGAGTTCTAGCATCCGTAGCTGCCTCAGGGGGTGCCACTTCTCCCATCAGCGTCGACTAGTCCGCCGGTACGTGGTGCTATATTACGTTAAGTTGTCTGTTCCATCCTGTACGGGCTGTGTTCTGCTGACCACACAGTCTGGGTCTCCATACTTTGCATGTTCTCATCGTGTGTAGTGTTCACACGTACATATATGGACTGTCACACCCATATGTTGTACATGTGGCTGCACGTGTTGTCTCTTTGTAGTACCTGCTGCTGTATTTGTGTCTCTGTGATGCTGACCCGTACATGCTGCTGCGCTGCTTTGTTGTATTGCTGACACGTGCACCTTTTTTGTGCTGATATGATATCGAGTACGCCACTTTTTGTGCTGATGAGTGCACCACTTTCCGATATCATGTTTCCTTTCGCCATGTCAGTTGTCAGTTCTCCCGTCGTCTCCTGAAGTGTAGTAATGAATAGCTCTCTCTCTAGCTCTAGAGAAAAACCACTTGACTAGTCCGTTTGATGTGTGGCGTGGCGAGGGTATAGTAGAAGCAGCTCGTTCTCCAACTGAGACGACATTTGGCGCCCAACGTGGGGCTCAAACCCACGACCCTGAGATTAAGAGTCTCATGCTCTACCGACACATATATGCACGCGGCACCGTTTGTGCTCCTATCCATTTACATATGCTGCTTTCCACACCTGTGCTGACAGTCGGTACGCAACGACTCTGTACGCATGCACGCACACCATTACATTCTGTTGGCATCATATTAGTGAGGTTTTGCATTCCAAAATTCGGCAAAAGATTCGGCAAGCGGGGGCGAGGTCGAAAATGCACACGAAGATGCGGCATGTTTGTTCGGAAAAAGCTCACTTTGCCGAACATATTTTTCGGATGAATTTTCTTGTGGAAGAGCGCTAGCGCGTGATTTATTCAAAGAGGTTTCTTATCTTGGCATGGCTTCGCAGGCGTCTTTGACGACATCAGCATCGTCAGCTACCTCTGATTGCTCCTCTCCACTGCCTGTCTACTCTCTTTCGCCGGGAGTGTCCTCACGGACATCCAGCAGCTCGTCCCTACGTTAGCCAACACTGGCAACGATCTCGACGGCCTCATAACCGCCGCCGCCGACTACTTTCAGTCGAAGCAGAGCCCCAGCATGGCCCGCTTCCACTTCCGGCAGGTCACCCAGCAGCCTGGCGAAACGTTAGACACGTTTTATACTCGTTTGCTGGCATCGGCAACGACCTGCAGCTTCGCCGACGATGCCCAGAAGAACGTGGCTCTCTGTAATCAAATTGTGGCAGGATGCACGTCCGATCCACTCCACAGAAAACTGCTGGAGACTGCGTCCCTTGATCTCGCCAAGGCGCTCAAGGCCGCCAGAGCATTTGAAGCGTCAGTGAAACAGACGACGGCGTTCCGGCGCACACAAGACTCGATCAATGCCCTCCGTCATCAGCCACCGTTCTACAAAAGGACACAGCCGCCTCCTGCTACTGTTTCAACTCCGTCGCGTCGACCGATGCAGTCTTCGCCACATCCAGCTGCAAACTCGTACCACCAGCCACCTGCCCCAGTCGCCACTCGCGCTCCAGGCCGGCGGGAATCCAGCACATCGCTCTGCTACCGCTGTGGAGAGCCAGGCCACCCTGAGTCACGTCGCTACGCAGTTTTGCACTGTAAACGTCTGCCCATGGGCGTATCGTCCGCATCCGAGATCCTACAGCGCACACTGGACGCCATGGCTCGCTGGCCTCGACGGTGTGAAGAACGTCCACGACAACATCTTCAACTTTGGTAAGAGCGTCGAAGAGCACAACCGACGACTCGCCGCCTGCCTCCAGCGGCTCCAAGATCACAACGTTACACTCAACCGAGCCAAATGTCACAAATGTCACATCCTCAAGCCTCGGCTCAAGTTCATGGCTAGCGTCTACTCCGACAAGGGCATCCGCGCCTCTCCCAGCCACCAGCAGTCTGTGGCAACATTCTCTACGCCATCTTGCGTCAGCGACATACAGAGTTTCCTGGGTCTCACCAACTTCCTCCGCCGTTACATTCGTAACATGGCTGATCTCACCACGCCACTCCCTGCTCTCACTAAGAAAGGTACTGTTTGGCGTTGAACTGATGTTGAGCAACAATCATTTGATGCACTGAAGAAGGCCATCGCCGAAGACTGCATGCTGCAATACTTTGACCGCAACACATCACTGTATGTCGACGCATCGCCCACCGGCCTCGGCGCAATCCTGTGTCAACGCCAAGACAACGGCCACGATGCACCTGTAGCATTCGCCAGCCGTGCACTCTCCGGCGTCGAGCAGCAATATTCTCAAACTGAACGGGAAGCATTGGGTGTCAAGTTTGGCTGCCTTCGCTTTCACCACGACTTGACAAGGTGATCCACAGTTCACCGTTGTCACCGACCACAAGCCGCTCCTGCAACTCAAGGCCGTCGGATCGAGACCTCCACCATGAATTGAGCGCATGGTCCTCCGCCTGCAGGATCTCAGCTTCCAGCTCCAGTACAAGCCTGGCCCAGAAAACCCGGCCGACGTCGTCAGTCGCAATCCGCAGCCTCATCCCGACTTGCCAAACATCGGCGCACAGGAAGACACTGCGTACATACATGCCCTAGCTACAGCAGCTAAGCCGAATGCGTTGGCTCTGAAGGAGATTGCGGACGCCACCACCGCAGACACCACACTGCAAGCCATCCTTTCCTCTCTGCAATCTGGCCGCTGGGATTCCAGCCACACCACGGTCCGCCCGTACTTTGCCCTCCGCCATGAACTGTCTGAGAGTGACGGTCTACTACTCCGCAACGACCGTCTCGTCATTCCCACGGCCCTCCAACGGCTTACCCTGCAGCTTACACATGCGGGCCACCAAGATATTGTCCGCACCAAGCAACGGCTCAACAGCAATGTTGGGTGGCCCAACATGGCTACTGAAGCCGAAGCACTCTGCCGGCAATGTATTCCGTGCCAAGCAACTCTCTCAACGACACCGCTACGTCCGGGAGTCCGTGCCCACACCACCGTCCACCAAGCCGTGGCAACGAGTCTTCGTCGATTTGTATGGACCCATGCCAAACGGTCAGCACCTGATTGCCACTATCGACCAGTTGACTCGCTACCCGGTCATCAACGTGTTCAGCACGACACCCACTACGGCCGGTGTTGTTAAAGCTCTGCGCTCTACATTATCCATGTTCGGCTTGCCCGAAGAGCTAGTCTCGGACAACAGTCCTCAGTTCCGTTCTTCGGCTTTTGCTGATTTCCTCGCGCAACACGCTATCCAGCACCGCCACACCCCTCCTTTGTGGCCACAAGCAAACGGAGCAGTCGAGTGCCTCAACCGTACCATTGGCAAAGTTCTGCGAACTGCCAAACTAGCTGGCGAAGACATCAATGTTGCATTTGACCAATGGCTCCTAGCGTACCGCACCACGCCACACCCTGCCACTCACGAGGCACCGGCAACACTCATGTTTGGTCGCCCCATCCCCGACAGCATACCCTGCATTACGGCAGCCGCACCAGACTTGCCTTCAGCTGCCCACCGTGACCAGCAATTCCGCCAATCCCAGTGCGACGCTGCCAATGCCACCCGCCGGTCAAACGCCCCCATCCTCACTCCTGGTCAGCGCGTCTTACGCCGCAATGAGCAGGCACACAAGCTCTCACCACAGTGGGATCCCAACCCCTGGACCGTGGACCAGATCTCTGGGTCTACGGTGACGATCTCCAACTCAGCAACTGGCCAAAGATCGACTCGCCATAATTATGTCGTTCGTCAAGCCCGTAATTGTTGTCACACAGCCAGCCCATCACCCACTACCAGCTGAAAGTTCTGCCACCACACCTTACAAAATTACAACAAAATCACATGCAAGAAGTCCTTTCACTTTGACTACTGCTCGTTGCGTGACATCACTCCTCACCAAAGGACTTCCTGGGAATCACAATCCTAAACGGACAAATGTACGAATACCGCAACTGACTCTGTTGTTCTGCACGCCACGATCAACACGACTGCGTGCAAGACACAGCTGATCATCGTCGCTGTACTCTTCCCTGAGCACGTTACCCTGTCGCTGCAGCCTGCGACGGACATTCCATAGTTCCACCAACTTGATGGCTTGATGTTCCCATTGACGTCGACCATGCGGTGTTGCCATTGACGACCTTCAACTTCAGGTCCTTGCCGTGGTCCGCACCATTCAAGAGATGGGCCACATTTGGTGTACTTTCACCCAGTTGGTCACTTATTTTAACCTTGCCGACTTTCCACTGCCGGACTGTTGCTTCAACAACTGGCGGAGAGCACATACGCGTATCATCACTCTTCCTTGCAAACATCATTTCCGTCTCCACCACGTCCTTATCAGCCTGATCCATGCCTGACACCCCCAAGGCACTGTCCACTGTGCCGCCGGGCTGGTGGAGCGACGGACCGATTCTCCAGTGACGGTCGTCGTCCACAAGGCTGTTGGACTAGAGCTGTTCAGTGTCGTGCAATGCTATCGCATGAGCTGATTGTTTAGTAACTGGTGGTGTTAGTGGACAGTATAGTGTAACTTGTAGTTCCTTGGTCTTTTCTCTTTTGTAAAAACAAACTAGTAAGCATGAAGTTGGTTGCTCCAACGAGGAGTACACGCTTCTTGCCAAACTTGACACTTGACTGACTCACGACTGCCATCCGGAGCACACGAGGAGCACGTCGCACCTTCCGCTCGGCAAACCTGTAAGAAAGCACCACTCCCTGCTCAATACACAGTGTTTCGGGGAATTCACCCCTCATCAGTTGAGCTTGAGTAGGCTGAGGAAGATTGTGCCTGAAAAGCACCACTTATATACTGCTCTCCAGGCCAAACCATCACCAGGAGGAGTACACGCTTCTTGCCGAACTTGACACTTGACTGACTCACGACTGCCATCCGGAGCACACGAGGAGCACGTCGCACCTTCCGCTCGGCAAACCTGTAAGAAAGCACCACTCCCTGCTCAATACACAGTGTTTCGGGGAATTCACCCCTCATCAGTTGAGCTTGAGTAGGCTGAGGAAGATTGTGCCTGAAAAACACCACTTATATACTGCTCTCCAGGCCAAACCATCACCAGGGATACAAACTTGCAGAGACGCTTTGTTTCCAGCGCGACAAACACCTCGTGAAGCCCCAGGTAGCAGCGTGAGTCAGAGTCGCTCATGGAGTTGTGCTAAACAGACGTTGAGAGCCAGTATAGCTATTCACAACGCTGTCACCTCCAACAACTAGTCGCACGTCCGCGTGAGGGACAACAATACGAACTTAGACTTGAAGTTGCGACTTCGGCGGTAATAGTCATGAAGTTGGTTGCTCCAACGAGGAGTACACGCTTCTTGCCGAACTTGACACTTGACTGACTTACGACTGCCATCCGGAGCACGCGAGGAGCACGTCGCACCTCACGCTGCTACCTGGGGCTTCACGAGGTGTTTGTCGCGCTGGAAACAAAGCGTCTCTGTAAGTTTGTATCCCTGGTGATGGTTTGGCCTGGAGAGCAGTATATAAGTGGTGCTTTTCAGGCACAATCTTCCTCAGCCTACTCAAGCTCAACTGATGAGGGGTGAATTCCCCGAAACACTGTGTATTGAGCAGGGAGTGGTGCTTTCTTACAGGTTTGCCGAGCGGAAGGTGCGACGTGCTCCTCGTGTGCTCCGGATGGCAGTCGTGAGTCAGTCAAGTGTCAAGTTCGGCAAGAAGCGTGTACTCCTCGTTGGAGCAACCAACTTCATGACTATTACCGCCGAAGTCGCAACTTCAAGTCTAAGTTCGTATTGTTGTCCCTCGCGCGGACGTGCGACTAGTTGTTGGAGGTGACAGCGTTGTGAATAGCTATACTGGCTCTCAACGTCTGTTTAGCACAACTCCATGAGCGACTCTGACTCACGCTGCTACCTGGGGCCTCACGAGGTGTTTGTCGCGCTGGAAACAAAGCGTCTCTGTAAGTTTGTATCCCTGGTGATGGTTTGGCCTGGAGAGCAGTATATAAGTGGTGCTTTTCAGGCACAATCTTCCTCAGCCTACTCAAGCTCAACTGATGAGGGGTGAATTCCCCGAAACACTGTGTATTGAGCAGGGAGTGGTGCTTTCTTACAGGTTTGCCGAGCGGAAGGTGCGACGTGCTCCTCGTGTGCTCCGGATGGCAGTCGTGAGTCAGTCAAGTGTCAAGTTCGGCAAGAAGCGTGTACTCCTCGTTGGAGCAACCAACTTCATGACTATTACCACCGAAGTCGCAACTTCAAGTCTAAGTTCAAACTAGTAAGCTAACGATAAACTAGTTACACTGAGACAATTCGACTGGCACAAATTACAACAAAATCACATGCAAAAAGTCCTTTCACTTTTACTACTGCTCGTTGTGTGACAACCACCATCATCAGTGTGCGCATTGCGCCTGGTTTGGTGCATGCCTGGTGGAATATGACATAGCGGCTGATGCAGTGGGCACGTCAGGTAACACCTAACGCATTGAAAATGACTCAACTATGACTTGGTTCGATTGCAACAAACCTAATGATAGTGGTACCGAAACATTCGGGTAACCGGAGTAAGTGCCAATTGATATTTTTGGCTCCAGTCAGTCAAGTGATTCAATTGCAATACAATTATATACGTACGGTGGAACTCACTTAGTACGTACCCGGGTAAGACATACACCTGCATAACACGGTCCTCTTTTGTCGCACGGATTTTCCTCCCATAAGCGCATATTCAGATGTGTACGGATACCTTCTGTTCATGTGATTCATTGTCGCTGTGTTACTGTATGCAGATCTCACTCAGCTCTGCTCTCCGAGCATTCTGCTTCCAACACGACTTCCCGAAAGGTATGTATGGTGGCTAATAAATAATGCGAGAGTCTTTACAGATTCCAGTGCTCTCATGCCTTTTGCAAGTTCCGTTTGTAAGTCAAATGGAACATGGTTTGTGGTCAATACTTCAGCAGTAGTGGTGCGAGAATATTCGGGTGTCAAATTGCTCGGAATTGATGTATGATAACGGAGAATATACCAACATGTGAATCACTTGGAGATAGGGTTTGCCAGGTTCTGTTCACACTCACTAGGCTAGACCCTCTCGAGTATTGTACAACAGTTTTGGCCCAGGAGTGGTAAAGGGCACGGGGCAAGCTATGTCGGGACCTGCTGTAAAGTCCGCCATACACGAGCTGTACGTCTTATCGGATGGGATATACCCCTGATATTGCTGATAATGAATGGCCCAGTTTCATTGTACTGCTGTCCGCGATATTATATCCTTAGTGGCATTGTTAACTTCTCATTGCTTGTGGGGACGCATGGATCATACGTCCATCCAACACCTGCCAATCGGAACCCACCGACAACGCTGTCGGTTGGGTTGGACCACAATCGGTTGGTTTTTGAGTCCAAGATGCCACCTAGGTAGCACAAAGCATTGCTAATCTGATTTTAAATTAGCTGCGCAAATCCTGGCATACTGCCCGTAAATGCATCTAACTCCCAGGGTACTTATGAGTTTTTAGGTCTATGTGGTACTTGTGTCGCATTGGCAGCCACTGTTCCGTTCTGTATTTTCTGGTCTATGTGTCGTTGAATCTCCACAGAAAATGTGCTCGCGCATTAGGAGGTGAAAGATGCACCTGCAGGAGAATACATGCTTAAGAGAAGGCAGAAACATGCCCGGATCCACCAGAACTAGTGCTGGCAAGTCAACAGAGGCGAGTACTGATAATGTTCCAGATTGTGGTAGGATCACATAAGCAAAATTGACACTGGGAGGCACGGCGGTGGGTCAGCTCATGGCCAGCGCCAGCTCCAGTGGATATCACGTGCATCCAGTTCTAGTACTATAGTTAGGCACTTCAGTCACGTGACAGAACCTGTCAAAATTTGCTGAGGTGAGAGTGCGTACTTGCGTGGCACCAGTCAAGTGCATGCGCTAAACTGTACAGGTACGCACTATGCTTCGTTGTACGGGCTGATAGTTGGGCGCATCGTGTTGCTCTGACGTTCAGCTTTCAGTAGATCCCGCATACGTCATAGTGCGTACATTTTTGCGAGTTGTAGATCACGTACACAACCAGCAAAGAGTTTTTTCACAAAGAACTGTTGTTTGCTCGCGTTTGAAACGTTGCTTATCGTCTTCAGCGTCGTCTTTCCATTCGGAAACAGTAGAGTTCTTGTTTACCAGGGTTTGCGCATCGCTGCGCAAGGAGACATTATGTACGTAGGCACTGAGAAGTATACGCTTTAGGTGGAGGAGAACGACGATGCGTCGTCCTACCTGGGCGAATTCTCAAAGCGTACTGAAAGCCAAGTTTTGACACGGTTGCGCTGGAAGGCCTACTGATGTTTACGAACAATCAAAAGGCACAGTGGCTGCTGGAGAAACCCTCTGATGAGGGGATGCTTTGATATACGCAGCCAGGCACGCTTCACCAAAATTTCAAAGCTCACCAGCAGGCAATTCATGACTGCTGCATGGAGCAGTTGAAGGATAGGGAGACAGATATCACACCATGGAAAGAAGCTACCAACAGAGGTCCTGAAGAACTTCTTGCCAACTTGGAATCACTTGAAGTGGCATGACTGTGAGCACGAATGTCCTGTGCAGTAATTCGCGCGCGCGCGCGTACATACCCTCCACATTGCGGTGTCCGGCGTACAACGAGGAAGTTCTCTGTTGTTTTTGTGCCAGAAGAATGTCTTTATAACTCTTACGCTTTTGTACCCGCCGGAGCCTGCCAGTATGTCGTTATCAGTTCATTTCACAGCAAACTGAAGCTGTTACTATGGGTTACTATGGCGTTGCTATGGGTTGCTATGGAGTTGCTATAGTAATTGCGGTCACAATTGCCGTATTCTTGCCTATTCCGAACTTTGATCTGTATTGTTTCGATCCATACAGGGTTGTCGGTGTAAGTGAGTGATGTGTGCTTGAAAAAAACACTCTGATGTTTTGTGACTATATCCACTGATGATACTTCGGAGATGCTGTTGGTGCCACAAATTGTATTGATCTCGCCTCATCCAACTGCCTATCTTCAACCCTTCATATCTGAGTGGTATCACTGTGGATTTCAATAAAATTTTCTGTGTGACCTTGTGATACCCACCACCATCGATTGCCGATGATAAACCTGGAAAAAACGCGATTTCAAAAAATGGGGTGAAGTGCCTACTATAGTATGACTGCTACAAAGTAGTGCGGCCCAAATAGAACTCGGGTCAGGTGCCGAAGAACTGGGGGGGGGGGGGGGCATGTATCAATGAATGGTAATAACTCCGGAAATCATGCTGGTGTATCGAGGGCGTGGGCCAATGAAGTGCTGGATTGATGGTGGACGACTGTACTGCAATCTTGGCTGGTCCCACTATCGCAGAGACAGCACTTCCTGGTGCAACCACCCTATCCTGCAATCTATATAATAATTATTATAAGAGATTTGTGTGAACGATTTTAGCATGATGCAAGTCAGCTTATTGTGCTGGGGGCCTGGCTACATGTCACTATAGCTTTTTATAGACTCGATCACCGCATTACGCTGCCTTGCGTTGACTTGATTGAGCACTCTTTTTGGTTAGTGTCAAAGGTATATGTAATATGTATCTGCCTTCGTGCAAAGCTCTCTTTGTGCGTGTCTTGCAGATAGCTCGCTGACTTTGATGCTTTGAGCCATTTTCAAATTGCTTTTTTTGTTCATTTCATATAGACCGTATTGCCATTTGTTTAACCTCCCGCTCTGAGCTCCACTGATGGGACCTAAAAAAGGCTGAAACAGCTGTCTGGAGATTGAGCGTCAGTATTATGGATTTAGAATACACGATCTGGGGACAGCACTAGTACTGTCTAGCTGTTTCGTCCTTTGTGGACTCATCAGCGAATCACAGAGAAATAACTCTTAACTAAGGATGAACCTCGCAGCCATGAAAATAGATAAATAATGCCTCCAAGCCAGAATTCAAGGCTACATGTGTAGGCCCGAATGTGCCTTGCCCGAGTGCTGAAACTGATAAGTCATTGAGATACGCATAGAATATCTGGCAAAGGAACTACTAAAGCCCCCACAAGCACGGTATTCTACTTCAACAAGGAAGAATTTTGAAAGCATGCACAGCCCTACATGTATAATGTTGGAATAGGTAAGCCTTGTTTGATAAATTAACATGACAAGGCGGGGGACGCACTGTGTTAAAAAACAGTGCTCCTGATACACTAGTATGTCCTCGGCTTTGTGACATGCTGTCAACCGATCAACACATACAACGTTGCATGCAAAACGGCTGCAGCCTCGAAGTACGGAGTGCTATTTTGGAAAATGCTAGATATACAGCCTGTACTTATACAGGTGTTCTATCAACTAGTGCCATTATGACAACGGTAGCTGAATGATACATGTACATAAACCCGGGGTCATCATTTCAAGAACCTCTGGGTCTAAGCCCGAAGTAACATTCAACTACATGACTGTATACACCATCATGTATACACCATCTTCGTAGTGACTGAGTCTACCCCTCACCCACTACTGCCACTGTGACCACAATTGTGCACAAACAGAGGACCTTAGAGGACCTACTTCTAACTACAGTGCTGGCCAAAGAAATCCAACCTTATGAATAAAATTGCACCGGGCGTTATGCAGCCCTAGTAGTAAACATACTGGACCGGTCTGTGCTCTCGAACGCGGCGCTACTTCATTAACGAGGTTGGATTTCTCTGGCCAGCACTGTACAAAATACACACATGCACACACAACACTGCTAGGCTTTCCACCACCACACAAGGTTTTGAAACCGAAGAGTGGCAAAATTCAGGGCCAGACTAGAAAATCTGGGGAGACCTGATGGTTTTTTAAAGCAAAACACAGAAACACTCTGCAGCCTCACAGCCTCCGGCAGGTTTTCCCGAGCGCACAAAATTAAAAGTTGTTGAGGCACCACGAATACAGTCGGGCGTCACAGAACGTGGGACCCAGGAATGTACGTGTATACCTCTAGGTACACCACAGCCAATAACGTTTTAAAAAGAAACGCAGTGTCAATAGATTCGAGTCTCTGCTTTTCTGGAATACAGATTCTGCTACACACGTGTTGCTCACTATCCAGTGGGATGTGCATCTAAGAAAGTGGTACAAGAAGTCAAGGAACTAAGCCTAAGGCCAGATTGCTGAAAGGTTTTGTATAACTGACGAGCCTGACCCCTTGGAACCAACAGCCGTGGATGCGTGGCTCTACTGTAATAAATGTACAGGTACACAAACAATTTGAATGCAGAAATAACAACAACAAACAGGGAGAGGTGTAGGAAAATATACTCGGCCCCTAGTGAATTTGCTTGTGTATTAGCTTGAAAACTTTGGGTACACTTGTTGAGAGACCTAACTGCATGCAGCTAAAATATGGAGTGCCGTTGTCACCGACGACTTTTCCAGTAAAGTTGCGGCTAACATCTTCTCAGGTTTTCCCGGGTCTTCGCTAAGGCCGTAAGGGTGAATGATATCATGTGCGTCTTCTATTGCTGATGTCGCTACACTCGATGGTGGTGCTGATGTACTGATTGTGGTGGAAGATATTGAGATGCCGTATGTCTCGAACCTTTTCGCCAAGTCTCCGCGGCCATCGCGCAAGAGGGTCGGGAGCACCACAACTGCAACGCCACAGATCCAAGGATCGATTCTCGGACAAAACATTCTTCAGATTGCCAAAGGTCCCCAGTGCTTGGCAATACTGGCCTGTACAGCATGAACACACCACACATACGCCCACACACCATGTACCATGTAAACGCCCGTTGCAGGAGAAGCACGCAAATCTGCAAATGAATTGGATGTGCACCCACAGATTTTCTCGTATAGGAACAATAGCTGATCTGAATCTGAATAAAACAGATCAAGACTAGTGCCAGATAACAGTCTAATCCGCACAAGGCAACTGGCGCAGCCATGTGAATCTCGAGCAAAATGGACAAACATGTCCCCAATTATCAGCAAACGGGTGTGCGTTACAGGATTGGCCTGGCAACTTCAAACAGGCACAATCCACTAACGTGGTGCCCCGTCAACTTCAACGGGAACACACCGATACAAACACAGCCCCACAACAGCAAAACGGGAACGCCGTTACAAATATGGTGCCCTGGCAACTTAAAGGGGAAGTTAAGGCAAAAATCAAAATTTCACCAGTTGTAGTCTTCGGGGTGCTGAGTCGAATGGTCGTGGTCCGAGGAAGCTGAGACGCTCCCTTCCTACTTTAATCCCAATCGAACTCGCACACTTCCACCGAAACTGGGTGACTGCGCCCTACTAGATGGGGATTTGTATGCAAAATGTCACTAAAAGCGCCATTTCGTTCTTATAAAAGCATGGATGACCGCGATTGGCCCATATGTTGTAGTCTTTTGAACGCTGAGTCGATTGGTTTTGGTCCGAAAAGGCTGCGATACAGCGTTCCTCCTTTATTCCCAATCGAACATGGTTGAACAAGCGGTCACGTGCTCCTGCGTACACCAGTCACCTGGTCACGGTGCCTGCGGGGTACAACTTACTAGCCTGTTTGACCTTTTTTGGGTGCAGTCCTGTCACTCGAGTTGAACCCGAGTTGAACCTTGGTGTGAAAGTTGTCGCCTGCTGGCGTGGTGACCAGGTGATTTGGGCACCCAGGAGCACGTGACCACTTGTTCAACCATGTTCGATTGGGAATAAAGGAGGAACGCTGCATCGCAGCCTTTTCGGACCAAAACCAATCGACTCAGCGTCCAAAAGACTACAACATATGGGCCAATCGCGGTCATCCGTGCTTTTATAAGAACGAAATGGCGCTTTTAGTGACATTTCGCATACAAATCCCCATCTAGTAGGGCGCAGTCACCCAGTTTCGGTGGAAGTGCGCGAGTTCGATTGGGATTCAAGTAGGAAGGGAGCGTCTCAGCTTTCTCGGACCAAGACCATTCGACTCAGCACCCCGAAGACTACAACTGGTGAAATTTTAATTTTTGCCTTAACTTCCCCTTTAACGGGAACGCACCAACACAAGCTGGCCTGGCACCTTCAAACAGGCACAACTGACAAAACACGGCATCCGGCAACAGAAAATGGGTAGGTACACCGTTACAAGAACAGTCCATCGCACCAAAATGCTGCTGCCACAACATTATAGCAGCAGCACGCCAGACATGCATACATGGCATTCCCAAAAGCAGATACCTGGAGTCAAATTCATCCATCACACTGTTTGCTAGGGCTGAATTTTCCAGTGACAATAGGAAATCCCGCCTAAGGCTCATGTGATGAGATCTGTACACCAACTATAGTCACAGAATCAATGCACATTAGTAGAGCATAAGAACTCACTTGCGCTCATACCCTGTCACGTAGAGATGCTACTCTACGTGCACTGTTCCGATGTCCATTGGGGTGGTATGCCGGCCACTTGCCAGATGTAGAGCTTTTAAGCCGTACTTTGCCACCGTCTGCTTGCCGTATCACCACCTAACTTGCAACTCTGGATTCCAGGACTGTCGCTCCAACAATGGGCATGGAGCGGGAGCTAACCTGATAACAGTTGAGAGCGTGACAGAGTACAGTCTGTATCGGCTATAGAGTGACCGGATATAAGAATATATCGGCTACAGTGATATTGGTACGAAATATCAAAAGCAAAACGTATTTTATCCAGTACAAATATCACTATAACCAATATTATCGGATGTAATGATATATCGGATATTATGATGGCAACAAAGAATCAAAATATGCATAACACACTATAATTATCGGCTATAGTGATAACTTTAAAATACATGTTGCAATAATATCAAAGGCCCTATTTTTTTTACTTTCTTCACGGTGCTTATTTTGATAGTGACACATGTACATGTACATAACAGAATTTTTTTATGGAAATGCGGGCACTGTCAACTATGCAGCATGCTCATTTGTCAGAACGCCATGCTGGAAGTATTTCCTTGCCTTTCATGTGTCGATCGAAAAAAATCGATCGTATCGCATATAGTGATGCATCGGTTATAGTGATAAAATCACGGAAATCAAAAGGGTACGCTATAGCCGATACAGACTGTATCTTATTTAAATAAGGCCGAGTAAGGTGGATCCCTTTGGCAAAAGTGAACACAGGCTTGGTGCTACAGGCATGGGCTGTCATGTACCGGAATAGCCAATACCGGGCATGTTTCGTCGACAGTAGATGGAACTGCGACGGCTCCACCGTATATGGCCGCGTCTTAGTGACCTTCAGGCGCAACGTGACCAAGTCAGGTGCGAGACTCCCAGCCTCCCACACAAATACTCTTTGGCTGTCAAACGAGTGAATACTAGTAGATGATGCTAAATACTCGCTGGCAAACAATAAGCCATACAAGGCCAGTAGTATACTTACCCACAGCATAGCCTGATCTACAATATGACTGATTGGATCGTTGTAAGTATTGCCGAAAATGGATTAAGTCGTCCACTAAAAGCTCTTTGAAACTCGGATGTTGAGCCAATATGGCAATAATAAAATTAATGTAGAAAGGAAAAGGACGTATGGATATGAGTGTAGAGTAACTGTCACTATATACTAAATACAGTCAGAAAGTGCAACAACCAGGCACTAAAACATTTGACGACCCGACTCCTGGCTTCAACACATCTCCGTAGTGTTAAGGAGAGACCAAAGAGGGAAAGGTAATACTGGTTTCGTCATCGTCCAGTAACAATCAACATTTCTTGTTCTTGTGGGACTGTAGCTTCAACTACTAGCTTGTGCTCATTTTCGTTGCGCTTACCTTCCCCTCTTTGGTCTCTCCTTTTAACCTTGAACCTTCCAAGTTGGAAGGCTGTTGGTTAGCGCTACGGAGATGTGTTGAAGCTAGGAGTCAGGTCGTCGAATGTCTCAGCACTCTGTCAGTTTTGTGCCTAGTTGTTGCATTTTTTTTACCGTAGTAGCTAGTTACAGTGGTGGACAGTTACTCTTAACTCGTATCCATATGTCCTTTTCCTTTCTAATAAAAGCTCTATCCGCAAATATGCCGAGGCGGCTTGCCGTATCTCCCTCTATGCCATGCAACACAACTGTTGAGCGAGCAGCTTTTAGGCCAGCCCCATTGCACAACAGGTAATAGGCTACTAATAGCGTAACGCAGCTAGGTAAACACAAATCGATGAAAGAGGCAGACTTCTTAGAACAAAGAGACTAGTTGTGAAGGACACAACATTTTCAGCAGTCAGCAGTAGGAGAAATTGCTCTTAATTATGCAGCAATACTAGGCTTACACGTTTGTGTCATGCGTTCTGAGACGGAGTCCTTGACTAGCTCGTCACTGGCCGCACTCAGAGCAGCAGTCGTCACTACACATGGGTTGGGAAGCAATGGACAAAATTAACACTTGCCATGCACACATGCACTGCTTACCAGCTAAGTTAATATGACATACTGTACTGCAGCAAGCAAGGAACTGGCAATACCTGCACCAGGCCTATCTACTGTGACCCATGCCATTGTGAATGAGAAGAGGCAGCATTTGACAGTATGAGCGGTGTGATGAACGGGAATGCATAATACAAGCCAGTCGAGCATTGGTACATGTACTTACGGACGCAAGTTGGCTGCACTACGCTCCACTGGCCGTTGATTTCACAAGTACACACGGCCGAGCCCATAAGGACATAGGGAGATGTGCACACAAACGTGGTCGTGTTGCTGAACATCAAGCCGTTCACGGTCATTGAGCCCAGTGCCGGTGGTGACAGGACCTGGCAGTCGGTTTGACCTGCACAAGCACAGAGTGCACAGAGCACAGAGCACAGGCATTCAGTGCATGCATGTTTGGCCTAGGGGTGAAACGAGTGCCAAAATTGAGGACTCGAGTACTCTTTGAAAAAACGAGCGAGTACGAGTATTTTACTGACAACATAAAACAATGTACTGCACACACTCTCGTAACACTGAACGTATTACACCTGACACATGTAGTCTTGCATGCAGCCTAGTGCAGGAAATATAGTCTGAACTACGTCTTTTGTTGGTAAGTAGGGACAAGTAATAATTTCACACTTGCATGGGTTATCAGTACTGGTCAGAGTAACGGACGTGCTTGATGTACAAGCATACAGTACACTGTGCATAAGATACTTGAGTATTTTGCGAAACGAGTCCTCACTCCTTTCGAATTTTCGAGCAAGCGCTCGAGTATTCGATATCCTCGTTTCATCCCTAAAACGTTTGCGTATGTGTGCGTGGCACAGACGTTCGTTTTGAATACATTGAAGTACACGCATTGTGTAAAGGAAATTGATGCGAAGACTGCCTCAACATGGCCATGCAAAGTAATAAAATAAATACAGCAGTGAATAGCGGTCAACAGTAGCTCTACATTTTGCTTGTAATAGAAGTCATTAGCGTCAGAGCAAGAAGAGGGACAAGACGAGTCAAGGGACAATCCGGAGGACGCAATATCATACGACCAACTGTTTGTTTCTACCAGCGTTATTGTACCGTCGACACAGCTCTGACGACGATATACTGGGCGAATGCCGCAGGGCCTCCCAGCGTGTCAGCGGCAGTGGGTGATGGGCAGATAACAAGGTGGCTTGCGGACAACATCGGTGGCATGAAGCCTAGTGACTGCCAAGCGTCTTGGCGCGACGGGCGAGCAGTACAGTGTCATGCCCCAGGGGCTGCTGTGGCTGTCGACGTTGGCGGGTCTTGAGGTGCGTTCGCAGGCCTTCATGGCGCTCGGACAACTGCAATACTAGTACACAGACTCTCACTACTAGCTACATAGTACTCTGATTCTGGCACGTTATTTCTGCATTGAATAGTGATTGATTTTCCGCGATCCGCGCCGAATATCCGACGCTGCATGCATGTCCAATGCGCGTCAACAGTACTTCACACTTTCCTTTTCCCGCGTTATCACCTCAGCTATGCCAGTTTTGTATGTGGAAACCCCCTATATAATAGCAGTTTGGTCTATATTTTTAATCATTCAATATCTACCTTCACTGATGAGCTATGTATTAGCGAAACAGCTGTCTGAAGGAGTTTATCAATATCGTCTACGGAAGTGTCCTCGCAATGATGATGGTTGTGTGCAGGAGGGTCTAGTCGGCTAAAGAGCGCAGTGTGGTGGTGGAGGTGACTCAACATTTTCTTCAATGGCCGAGAGCTCTGTCGCACCCTGTAATAATAATAGAAGTCATGGTACTACTATCAGTGCTGCTGCTGGTGCTTACCTGGAGCTGGTGTGACCTTGCCTGGGCAGTACTGTGCATCAGAGCCATCAGCAGTCGTACCAAACACCGTCGCAGCGCTGTGATGGCAGGATACAGCCACTGGAACGCAGGCAGGGCAGGTAGCCAGACTGGCACTGCAGTTGAATGGCTGGATACACGTACCCATACACACAACACAAAAAGCAGTCAAGAGATGAAGAAAGTGTCTGCTCGGCACATCTTTTGTACAGTCAAGAGATATTAGCATATTTGGAGGAGGTGGTAGCCTAAAACAGGCTCGACAAAAGTTACCGGCTTATGCCAACAACTCAGTGTTCTGGTAGAGTAGACGGTTCGATACCGGAACGCCTTGACAGCCAAATTTGTATAGACCCAAACCGATCATCAGCGTTGATTTTTCACTCGAAATATGTTTGTGGAAGGAAACTGGCATGTTGAAGTTTGCTCTGGGGCCAGAGTCAATCGAACTGAGCCACTCCTTTGTGTTGACCCATTGCCTCCAAGTTGCCCAATTTTTCGCTTCAAAAAAGTTCAAATCAGAGGTGGCTCCAAACCGGACACGTTTTAGAGTGAACGTCAAATTCACTCTGGGTCTGAAATTAGCTAATTGCTATTGCTCCACGACGGCCAGTACAGAGTAACAATAAGCCTTGTGTGTGCTTCCATTAGTTTTGATTGGTATGCGGTGCTTTATTGGCAAGAGGCGAGCCGCTGTTTACCTGCGACAAGAAGTTGATTTTTCGAAAGTCGTAAAACTCAAGTCGCAGTGCGAAGCAACACATCAAAAACTCACCTGCTTGGTATGGCGCGTCTGGTCATCGCAGAGCCATGAAATTTTGGCTCGGAGTATAACACATCGTAGTCTCACTGTGACATATGTTTTCTAATCAAAATACCAAGAGAGAAAGTGAATATTGAGTCCGTTCCGGTTTGCAACCTGTGTCCTATTTGAAACCGTCGCCTCTACCCGGCGAACACCCTAACCATACACCTACAAGTATAACATATATCCTAAGGACTCAGGCTGAGATGCCCGACTGGTCCTGGGTCCTGTGATAAGCACGATCATCATTTGTGATGATGAAAAGTGGCAGGTAACACCCAGACTATTACATGCTCTGTAAATAGGAAAGATCAACGCCACCAGAATCTGCCTTCCTACAAGCCTGAAGCTTCTCTACACAAGAGGGATATATCGGCTCTCTTGAAATTCAACTTACGATTACATGAGGCAGCTGCCCCACTCCAGGAACCGTCAATCTGGCAGATGCGCACAATGCTTCCCTGCAGGTTGTATCCGGAATTTCAGCCGAAGACGACGCTGCCTCCAGCAGAATAGTTTGTGCCCTGGGAGTAGCCGTTGGTCGGTTTAGCTAGCGGTGTGCACACACCGGCTGTACACGTCACAGGCACGTACACACACACAGGCACGTACACACACAGGCACACACACACACAGGCACACACACACACACAGGCACACACACACACACACACACACACACACACACACACACCTTGACCTTGATACACAAGGATTCTTCATTATTTGCCACGTTTGAGCTGAGCTGCGATCATCGCGCTTTGTTGCAGTGTGCTAAAAAAACAAGAACAAAAAAAAAACGGCCAAAAAAGTGGGGCGGCTGAGGCCGCCCCAGCCACCCCAGCTGTGCCGGCCTTGCATGCCTGGTGTACGGTCTGAAAGATGAAAGATGGAGCTCTTGTATACACGGGCCCGGAAAGTCTGCTTCGCCTGCTCGGCGGCAGCTTCGTAGTGGTGGTCAAGGGTCGAAGACCGACGGATACGGATCAACTCCCCAGTGATCACACCTTTACCCATACTACGGGGGTGGTTACTACCGGCAAGCAGATACAGGAAACGATTGGTGACCTTGAAATGAGGCTTCACCGCCATGTATCCCTTACTACGGAAAACTGTGGTGTCCAGGAAATCAATGCCATCATGTGCCAGTTCATGCGCAAACTCGAGGGCCGAACACTTATTAATCCTGTCTAAAGCGCGCTGAACTTGACCTTCGCAACCATGCAATGAAACAAAAATGTCACTGATAAAGCGTCTATAAACCTGAACCTCTAAACCCTCCCCCTCTAAGATCGGCAAAATGTACCGATTCTCCAAATACAGCATAACAATGTCGGCATAGACCACTGCTGCAGGCGAACCCATGGCAGTCCCTTGGATCTGCGCGAACAAATCGTTATCGTACACGAACCCGTTAGTCTTCCGAATGACTGACATCAAGGAAGTCACTGCTGTTGTTAACCGTGTACGAAGGGCCGGGGGCATCCACCTTGTATACCTGTGTGTGATATACCACGACAATGCCACGTAACCGAGCTCGTTGGGGATGTTGGTGTAGAGGCTGGTCACATCTATACTCAAAAATAAATGATCGTCCCGCACAGGCAAACCTTCTACCAAGTTGATGAAATCCGTAGTTCGGGCCAGAACAGTACTTTCCTCACGTACATACAGGTTCAGTAGAAAGTCAATGAACTTAGTGGGATAGTAGCCAGGACTATTCAGACTAACAATAGGCCTAACCTTCAGGGCACAGGGCTTATGTGTTTTGATAAGTCTCCTGAAAACGGGCATGCGCCCCCGGTGCGACTAAGAACAGTGACATATAAAATGGTCATACGATGCCCGATGCGATGCCTA